GTTATTTAAGCGGTTGGTACCTTCGACAAACAAATATACGGACTGTATAGGTACTTGCACACAATTGAATAACGTCTTCTTCATTCCATTATTTTCATCAAAATATTGTTCTTTGAAATACTCTTTCATGGTAGAAATCAATTGACTCATGAAACATTGATGGAAGAGGAATGTGGCATTAGTACCAGCCTAGTTGCTGTCTTGATGAGCTCGTTTATCTGCGAAAGTTTAATTTAATTTAAACTAGAATTGGCAAAGGTGTGGAATGTGTTGTGCCTCCGGCAAAATCTAGTAGGAAAGCGCATTGTCCGACATTTTTGTCTGACTTGATCCGGCCCAACCACTTATTGCCATTGATGAGGATAAGGCTTAAAGTGGGCTCTACACGCCAACTAGAGTAGTTGAATCAGTAGTTCTACTTCCAACCTACGGAATGTTTTGAAGAGTCGTCAAGTTGTAAAAGCATGACTCGATTTCTCCTAGGTTTCGTTAAATCTAAGGTCTGTGAATAAGTAGAGCCTAGATTTAAAAAGCTATTTTTTCGAGTTACGGAGGGTTATCAAAGCCAAGTGCAGTTTCCTTTTAATTGACAGCGTTGTGCGGAGTGGCACCGAATCATAAGATCACCTCTTTCGAAGAGGCAAAGGCAATTGATCTGATCAACGAGCGGATGCCACCGCGACACGATTTAAGTTCAGGCAGCTCGACAAATTCTGCGCGCACACGCACATCCTCCTCTTGCTCCTGCTCGCATCACCCCGCTACGGCTATTTCCACCTCCGGAAAGCAACAAAATAGCAGTGGGAATAGCAATAATAACAACGGGGAACGATCATCTTCTTCATCTCAGTACCACCATCGTCATCGCAAGTCGTCTGGCAACACGCCTGAGAAGATCGGTTCTAGTGGCGTTGCGGATCATCGTCATCGCCCCTCCGGCCTCTCCACCAATTCCTCCGCCTCCTCCTCTCCTCGAACCTCCAACGCTACCGCTACTGCTGCTGCTGCCGCCA